CGCGCGGCCGAGGGCGTGGCCTCTCCATCCCGTCCCCAGCACCTGTCCGCGCTCCCACCTCCACTCTGCTTATTCGGAGTTGTCCTGACCGTGTCCGCCATCACCCAGCATAGAATCACACAGTGTAGGGGAAAGAAGAGCCGTTTAAAGCTGTTTAGATTTCCGTTACTTGAAAGCTAGGACGTGGAAGATAACGCTTTCATCTCCTCAGCTGTCTACTAGTGACAGCTGGGAAGTGAATGCCACTCTCCGACTTCCAGCTCCGTAGTTAGGACTAGGTCCTCTTGTGAAGCTGAACAGGGACACCCACCAGTCAAAACAGATAAACACCTTAAACCACTTGCATCCTTTCTTACTGGAACCTCTTCATCTCACTGGCTAAACACATTAGCAGGAAAATAGGTAAGTGACATAATATCAACGTTTTCCTGTGTTAATAAATATTTTTATCCTAGCTTCAATTTTAATGCTGCAATACCGTTCCTAACTTTGGGTATATTAATTTTTATTGGACCAGTGTTCTAGTATTGGATTCGGGTTATGTTTTTATTTTTCCAAAGGAGATACAAATTGACAGTAATTCAGTAGAAAACATGGGTGCACTCAAGAAAAACTGCTCATTTCACGACTTTTAACTAGACGTTTCCTCCATCTGTGGGTTTCCTGGACCGTATTGGGCTCAGGGCCATTTCTGTACATGGGTATGTGTCTGTCTTGCTAGGTACTTGTAAGAACTGCCGCACTAGCCAGACCTCTCACGACTCCCTTCCGCATTCTTCCTTACTCAGCTCTGCTTTCACCTCTCTTGGCCCTTTCTCAAGAGCACCTGAAAATGAACGAATTCCAGGTAAGTTGTTTAGGGATTTACCTCCCACATTTTTCAGTGGATTTCAAGAAATTTATAGTTTGTACATTCAGATGAAATAGGAAGAGGATATAAAATTCAGCTTCTGACAAAATAGGAGTATCAGATCAGTACTGGAAAAAATTAATCTAAGCATACCAAATCATACAGTACTTTAGACTTATTCAAGTTGTTTCAGAAAGATCCAGGCAAAATAAAACAGACCTTACTTACATTGGCAATTAGTATAATTTTTTCTATCATTTATATAAACATTTTCTTTGATAACCTTTGAATAAAAGCTGCAAAGGCTTTCACCAAAACCCTCTGTGAAAGGAACACAGTGGATTTCCTGAGACTCTTATATCCAGGCAAGCAGAGGAGTTACAGGGAACTAGCTCATTATCATATGTGTGGACAGCACTCTGCCATTTTCCATGATCTTGGGATAAAACCAAGAGTATTTGGTTTACATGATTTCAGTTGTACTTTTAAATGTACCGTGTAAAAATTTTTCACTTGCTTTCCTCATTTCAACTCATTTTATTCAGTCTGTGGTGTCTAACCATCTCACTTGCCTCCATGGAGCCATTCTAGTAAAAGCAGTGACCTACATATTTTCAAACCCAGTGGATGTTTTCCAGTGCATGCTTTGTTGCATTGACAGTATGATCTCTCTCTCTCTCTCTCTCTCACACACACACACACAAAGTTCACCTTCAATAATTATTGTAATATCATTCACAAGATTCTCTTTCTAAACTCTCTAGTCATTTCCACCATTATATGGTCTTTTTGTACCATAAACATTGCTATTCTACAATTAGCCCACTATTATTTTATACCATTTGTGGTTTGATTTTTTTTCATACTATTTGTGGTTTTAACTTGCAATATTTTGTGCTCAAAATCTTTCTAAGAGCCTCAGCCTGAGATTTTTGGTTACCCCTTCTGTAAAAAATGTTCCCCAGGTCCAAAATAGAAATAAGATTTATAGTCTGTTTAACTTGTTTCCTCTTTAATTCTCTGTCAGTGCCACTACCATCCTACCTGTATGCAAGCTAGAAAGAAAATGAGATTCCTTCATTTTTGCCTTCCCCTTCCTACTTCCCTGTCTTGGTATTTCTCCTAGATTGTCAAAAGATTTCTCAGTTGTCTGTCTCCTTTGACCTTAAGACTGTTGCTCAAACTGGATAGGCCACTAAAATGCCAAGGCTCCTTTAGATGACTTAGAAAGTTATTCATGTTGGGCTGGGATTGTGCTTTGTGGTAGAGTGCTTGCCTAGCATGCTTGAAGCACTGGGTTCAATCCTCAGTACCACATAAACAGAAAAAGCCAAAGTGGTGCTGTGGCTCAAGTGGTAAGAACACTAGCCTTGAGCAAAAGAAGCTCAAGGACAGTGACTAGGCCCTGGGTTCAAGCCTCAGGAATGGAAAAAGAAAAGGCTATTCATGTCACAACCACTTCCTATTTATTTAATTCCTGCCACTCTAAGCCTTTCCTTCAATATCTAGATACTGGTCAAACTGTTAGGTGCCAAATAGTATGTAAGATACACATTTAGCTTGGACAAGAGAGACCTTATCTCTGGCACCGTGGAGGTTGCAGACTAGGGAAAGAGAAAGACATTTCATTTCACAAATATCTGTGGTGAGCTGATTTTCAACCTTGTCAGACTTATCTGTCCCTATAAGTAACACCTTTCATACAAAGACAATCTGTTCATACTCACCATCTCTTTCATCTCTTTGAGTCATTGCCACCTACACACCACTCCAGTAGAACAAACTGAGGTGTGGTTTCAGGCTTCCTGAGAGACCAGATGGTGGAACCAAATGTTGCAGCCTGGAAGCGCGTGCACATCAACTCACCTTGGGTGTGAACTGTGAATTCGGGAAAAGGGGAAATGAGAAGAATGTGGGCAGAAAAAGTGCCCTTCCTTGCCCTCTTCCATGTACCACCATATGGTCTGGCCATATGCTCCTGGAGAAGTCCCACGTGCTGATGGCAGACCCCACTGAGGCTCCTGCCGCCTCTGTGAGGCCTGCGGTCGTCGTAGGCTTTGTAGTAGGCAGTGTAGTGACAACGCCTCTCACTCTGCATTGCTTCCGTTCTTTCCTCTCTTCCCCGCCTCCCTCTCCTGCTGTCCTGGCCCAAAGCTCCCACTGAAATCATAGCACTTAGTTTTTGCTTTGTGGGCTCTATTCAAGTAATCCCAACTAAAACCCAACTCTATCTTGGTAGACATAAATAATCTACTTGTATGTATTTTTTTAATCTGTGGGAAAAATAGAAGCAATGACACTTAAAATATTTTTATTTATGGGGCTGATACTTAGGGCCTTTACTCCTTGAGTCTCATCTCCAATTCTTTTGAGGTTTTTCCTTTTTTTTTTTTTTTTGAGAGGATTTCACACTAACTCCAGGCACAATCCTCCTATCTCTACCTCCCAAATAACTGTAATTACAGGTATGTACCACCACACCCAAACCTAATTGTATGTATATGGAATCTCTTGGTTACAAATATGCTAAAAGTGAAAGTTTAGTCTGGTATTTATTTTATTTTTTTTAATTTTTATTTATTTATTTTTTGCTTATGTGGTGCTGGGGAATTGAACCCAGGGCCTCATGCATGCAAGGCGAGTGCTCTACCACTGAGCCACCTTCCCAGCCCCTAGTCTGGTATTTATATATCAAAATTTGAATCACTGAATGTGACAATTACAAATTCACACACTGGTGTAGGTGTGATGTTTTCAGGATTCACATACCATGCTGTTGTTGCCATCAGTGATACTTTTTTTTTTTGTCAGTTATGGGGCTTGAACTCTTGGCGTGGGCACTGTCCCTTAGCTCTTCAGCTCAAGGTGAGTGTTGTACCACTTGAGCCACAGCACCACTTCCGGTCTTTTGGTGGTTAATTGGAGATAAAAATCTCACAGGATGATGCTGGGAAGGTGGCTCAGTGGTAGAGCGTTTGCCTTGCATGCCTGAGGCCCTGGGTTCGATTTCTCAGCACCACATAAGCAAAAAAGAAAAAAGCCAGAAGTGGCACTGTGACTCAAGTGGTAGAGTGCTAGCCTTGAGCTGAATTGCTGAGGGACAGCGCCCAGGCCCAGAGTTCAGGCCCCACGACCGGACCCAAAACAAAAAAAAAAGAATCTCACAGACTTTCCTGCCCTGGCTGGCTTTGAACAGTGATTCTCAGATCCCAGACTCCTGAATAGCTTGGATTACAGGCGTAGGTCACTGGCACGCAGCCATTACTGATACTTTTCAAGAGAGTGAAAACTTCTGAGATACCAATCCAAATCCAACTTTTTTAATGTACCCAGTATTGAATTTCAGGAAAATTTATGAAGCAGATAAACAGAAAGAAAAAGATCATTGTGAACAAATTTGTAATTGTATAGATGAGTATTTAGGACATTAGAAAGTTATGTCACGGCCTGGGAAGGTGGCTCAGTGGTAGAGTGTTTACCTTGCATGCCTGAGACCCTGGGTTTGATTCCTCAGCACCACATGAGCAAAAAGAAAAAAGCCGGAAGTGGCGCTATGGCTCAAGTGGCAGAGCACTGGCCTTGAG